ATGTAGGGTTTTTTTTAACTCAAAACCTCAAAAAATTATTTAAACTCATTGTATTTTTTATATAACAAGTCATATAAATAGGTTTAATTATGACTTGTGTCTTTAGATAACCAATTTATTGATATTTATAAAACAACATCACATATTCTTATTCAGGATGGTTAAACTTTTAAAACAGTTATAAATATGAAAATTTTGATTGCTATAGTAATAGACTAATAGTATTACTTGACCAAAGTTGTAATAAAAAAAAAAACAAATACTGACACATAAGTTTTCATTTTATAATATGACCAAACCAAAACACATGTGATAATTTATAATTCATCCAAACTTTGCTATCATAATTTGATTAACTCAAAACGATATTTGTTTCTACATTTAGCATTTTTTTATTATTAAATGCTAGTTGCTATACAAGTTGTTTTTCTTCTTATAAGTTCTTGAATATATATGCAACTCTCTGATTTTATTTTATTTTCGTAATTGCATCTTTATGTCAAACATATTAACTATATTTTTCTTCTATATATGTCATGACTGATTAAACCCAAGATCCTTACTCATTGGTCTTAAGTCTTTGACCTCCTTTAATCTCTCTCTCTCTCTCTCTCTTTCTCTCTCAAGATGGAGAAAGACAAAAACCTCACGGAGACACTTCTCTCTGCGGCGGCGGAAGAACGTACCGATCTTCCTTTCTCATCCGTCGAAGATATTCCTCCGATCACCACCATCGGTGGCTTCGTTAGGGAGTTTAACGTGGAAACCAAGAAGCTATGGTACTTAGCCGGCCCTGCCATTTTCACGTGCATGAGCCAATATTCTCTCGGCGCTGTTACTCAGGTCTTCGCCGGTCACATCAGCACCATCTCTCTTGCCGCCGTCTCCGTCGAAAACTCAGTCATCGCCGGCTTCTCATTTGGGATCATGGTAATGTTACATTCACCTCGTTTTAACATATAATATGTGGTTTGCATTTTATCATATTCAAGATGTTTTTTTTTTTTGTGGTTTATATTTATCATTCAAGATTTTTTTTTTCCCACTAAGTTTCACAAAATCCAAGTTGGGATATATTTGTATTTTTACATTATTATTAACAAAAAATTCTGTTATTTAAATTTTGTTTTATCAAAGATAATATTCGTAAATATTTATAATATAAAAGAAGAAGGTTAATTATACCATTTATTGAATTAAATAAATGTAAACATAACGTTCAAGAAGACAATTGCATCCGTGATTATTTGGTTTTTATTGTCAAAGTAATTATTTATTAAATAATTAGACTATCTTTATTCAGTTTTTTCCTTCTTTTTTTTTACAGACATTTTCACATTATTTTATATTTTTAAAAAGTTTGGCTCTGTTTTGTTGTTTTGAACTCTTTAACGTATACTTATGCAATTGTTGAACAAATCCTAGCTTGGAATGGGAAGTGCGTTAGAAACGCTATGTGGACAAGCGTTTGGAGCGGGGAAATTGTCAATGCTTGGCGTTTACTTGCAACGATCATGGGTGATACTAAACGTGACCGCTCTTATCCTCACCCTCCTTTACATTTTCGCGGCCCCGATCCTCGCGTTCATCGGCCAAACCGCGGCGATATCTAGGGCCGCGGGGATCTTTTCCATCTACATGATCCCTCAGATCTTCGCTTATGCCATCAACTTCCCAACCGCTAAGTTCTTGCAATCTCAAAGCAAGATTATGGTCATGGCAGCTATCGCGGCTGTTGCACTAGCTATACACGTGCCACTCACGTGGTTTGTTGTAGTTAAGCTCCATTGGGGTATGGCTGGTCTAGCCGTGGTGCTTAACGCGTCGTGGTGGTTCATTGACACGGCTCAGATCGTGTATATATTTAGTGGTACGTGTGGTGAGGCTTGGTCTGGTTTGTCGTGGGAAGCGTTTCGTAATTTGTGGAGCTTTGTTAGATTGTCTTTGGCTTCTGCTGTTATGCTCTGGTTAGTCTTATAACCAAACCCTCTACTTAATGTTTTTATTTTATTTTAATTAGTGTTATTTTTAATTTGATTGAATGGTTACACTTTTGAAAAGCTTGGAGGTTTGGTATTTTATGGCAATCATATTATTTGCTGGATATTTGAAGGATGCTGAAGTCTCTGTAGCCGCCCTCTCCATCTGGTAAATTTATATAATTTTTAGTGTTTTTACAAGTACTATTTTTATAATTAAAGAAGTTATTTAAGGTTTATAAGATTCGTTGTTTGATTTATTCAGTTTCTTGAATTTTTTAAAGTTATCATCAAGAATCTCTAGGAATTAGCACTAATCCGTCGTGCGTAGTAGAGAGTAGAGACTTAATTAATCGTTAGTATTGTCGTCAACTAAATTATAAAATCATAGGTTTCTTGGGCAGTGAAAACCCTAGCTAGTGGCTAAGTTTAAATAATTTGCTGCATTAACATTATTCTTATTCTCTTGTACTTTTTTAATTTATTTCTGTAACATTTTGTTTTAGTCATATTTATATAGAAAAATAACACATGTCATATATATTAACTATTTATTATTGTTAAAACTTTATATTATGTTAAATTAACTTTTAATGTATACGTCTAAACTTTTTGTTTTGGGTCTTGTAGCATGAATATATTGGGATGGACTGCAATGATTGCTTTTGGGATGAACGCCGCCGTAAGGTAAAAAATACGTGCAAAAGTTATAAACTAGCTTTAATTATATAATAACTTGAAACATAATTAAAATGGTGCAGCGTGAGAGTGTCTAATGAATTAGGAGCAAACCATCCAAGAACCGCCAAGTTCTCACTATTGGTAGCTGTGATAACATCGACGCTGATCGGGTTCGTTGTATCAATGGTTCTACTCATCTTTAGAGATCAGTATCCATCATTATTTGTGAAAGACCAAAAAGTCATCATTCTTGTTAAAGAACTCACACCAATACTTGCACTCTCCATTGTCATCAACAATGCCCAACCTGTCTTATCAGGTAATCAAATCATATATTGTTACCATTACGTTTGAAATAGAACTTGGTTCGGACTGATCGGTTTGACTGATTTCAGATTTATACTTACTTCTATGTGAATGAGTACTCTATTGGTTTGATTAGATATTGTTTAACTAAATAGGGAAATGTTACTATAACTCGATTAAGACATTGGTTGTGACGTTATGTGTGAGAAGCTTTAATGAATTCGATGGCCTTATGGTAATAAATATGAAATATCAGGGGTGGCTGTGGGAGCTGGATGGCAAGCAGTGGTGGCATACGTTAACATCGCATGCTATTACTTGTTTGGAGTCCCATTAGGTCTATTATTGGGCTACAAGCTTAACTATGGTGTAACGGTAATGAAACTCAAATCTTTCTATTTTCATATTACCATCATCCTTGAAAATATATACAATGAGCCATAACTAAAAAGACCGATAAAATGCGAAATATCTTTGATTTGCTAGGGAATTTGGTGCGGGATGTTGACGGGAACCGTGGTTCAGACAATAGTGTTAACATGGATGATCTGCAAAACGAATTGGGACACAGAGGTACTTATTCTATATGTTGTCTAAAATTTTAGCCTTCAATGTTCTAATGCAACTTCTTGGTTATATATGTATAGGCTTCAATGGCTGAGGACAGGATAAGAGAATGGGGAGGAGAGTCATCTGAAATAAAGCAACTCATAACCTAAAAAGAGTTCATAGGCCAAAGTTCTTTCAATCACATTGAAGAAAGACTTTTTTTTCACCCTTTGTATTTGGTCATAATAGGTTATGTTCTTTGTGTTTGGTTATTAATTATAAACTCTTTAATAGAGAGATTAATTAGTCTAATGAAAAGGCATATATATATGTCTCAAGAATTGAAAAGTTCAATCACATCATACAAACACAACCAAAATAAATTATCTCTAACAAACTAGTTGCACTTAAACTTTCAAATCACACCATATACATACATTATTTTTCAATTTCCAATTGTTTTGTTATACAATGAAGTGGATAGAGACATGATAAGGAACCAAGGAGGTGAGAAAAACGAGTTACCTCTCTTAACGTCAAAAATCGTATTCGTGCATGCCATTGGTTCGACTGATACTATACTCAGATTATATTTATTGAGCATGAATTAGGTACATCTATATTTTCTATCTAACACATTCATTGTATTAATTTTGTTTCTCATCAATTATGCCGACAATTACAAGTCGGAAAATAAACCTCATTAATTGTTACCTCCCCACAAAGACTTCACTGATTCTACTGGTGTCATAAGTGGACTAAGACAAGGCTCATGTAGCCATGTTCACTTGAAGTCTTGGTTAGGTTGCTTTGTGTTGAACTTGTCCCGCTCTTTGGATTTGTGTCATAACTCATAAGTCTACTAATGTACAATCCCACATGTTCATACAAATTTAAAATTAGTTAAGACTTCTTAATCTGTAAACAGTAAACAGTATTATTCTCCTTCTATTATTGTTTCTTCATATTTATTGTTGGTGTCAATTTTTTTAGACTTGCACCAACCAGTGTGTCTGGCCAATGCCGTTTACGATATTTATTGTTGGTATTAATTTTTTAGACTTGCACCAATCAGTAGTGTCAGGACAATGCCATTTACAAATTACGTACGCAGTCGTAGTACAAAGAGATAGATAACTTTTGAGAGGAATGATCCAATCCCGGTTTATCTTAAGAGCTTGATGTCGACTTGGTTTAGAGGTAAATTGGAGCTGGTTCAGTTGTTGAAAAGAAGAATGAGAAGCTTTTTGGATTAGAGGGTTTACTAATTTCATTTTGTATTGGATATAAATCGTCATCTCCGTCTTCACATTGTTGTATCCATGACAAACTTGTATTTTCTTCTTGATTTATTGGCTCTTGTTATGGCTCTTGTTCATTGTTGTATGATCTGAGAGAACTACAAAGTTTATAGTGAACTGATGTAGCTAGATTTGCTCACATTGAGTAAGCTTAAGCTTAGACCGAAGTGTATAGGTCATTGAGTGAAGCATATAGAGGATCCTTTCGTATCAATAACACATAACACAAGTACACAGTTATATATTTCCATCAAATACATTATATACAATGAAATATGATTTCGGCTGATTACACATTTATACATGAAATCAAAATATAATTTCAAGACATGTAGAAGAAACGGTACCAAACCATAATTGAAAGAGATGAAAAACGTTTTCTTCATGTCTTCTACTTATTTTTGTAAGATGAGTGCTGCTCCAACCAAACCGAACCACAGTGTCAAAGCAAGCCAAAACACTCTGTTCTTTTCCATACCAACGGTTGGTCGCCAAACCAAGAGCTTTCCTAGAAAGTCTTCGCTCGAGTTCAGCTGGTTTGTGGTCGATTCATTCATTCGCCGCTCCTTATCCCTGTCCTTGTCAGTCCATGTCACTGCATAGCTGTGCACACAACACAAATACTATTTCAGGCAATGTCGATATACGCATTAGCCATGAGAACTGAGAATTCAATCGTCAAAAGACTCAAAACAAGAAGGTAAGCTTAAGTGAATGACCTGTCGTAACTTGAACCAATCATGGGAATAGTAACCATTTCCTCCTGAGATATCTTGAGCTTAGGAGCTTGCAAGATATACCGAAGCTCAGAAGCTTGACGACGAATACCAGGACTCGGGTGTTTCTTCTCTAATTGCTGATAAAGATCAATGCAATCAGCGTGGCGATTATTGGCCTCATATGCCATAGCTAACCAAATTTGAATCTGGCCAAATCAATCCCCCGTAAAAACATTAGCAATCATACCAATTTCAAAACCAAAACAAGTACCTAAACTGGTGTTGTCAACCAACCTCACCACCAAAGAGTGTTGGCCTTGGGATAATCGTAAGAGCTCCTTCAAGAAACTCGATGGCGCGTCCATACATGCCTTTACCATAAGCCTTTTGACCCAATTCAAACATCAATTCCGCAGTTCTTCTCCTCTCTGCTTGCTCCTGAGCTACCTGCTCCCACCAATCTCTTCCATAAGCACATCATTTCACCAATAACTCATTTTCTTAGCCTATTCCAATGTGAAATCTCACATAGCCTTCACTAAGATCAACTAAACTAATCTAAGAGTGGTGCTAAGGCCTTTAGAACTAATACGAATGTGAAATTTTCAAATTTTGTCTCAGTTTAATCGAAACAAACGCACCTTTTCGAGTTCTCGTTTCACTCTCATCCTCTTCTTCTCCTCTGAATCGTCATCTCCTTCTTCATCAATCTTATACTGTAACTCCTCTGCTTTCCTTTCAAGCTCCTTCATATCCTGATACTCCTTGGCTTTCCTCTTCATCTCCTTCTTCTTATCGTTAGCTTCCTCCTCGTCATTCTCATTGCCGTCACCACCGTCGCTGCTTTCCTCGTCGCTGGATCCCGCGTCGTCGTAATCGACGGCGTTTGCCCTGGAATTCGACTTTCCGCGAGCTAAAAACCGGCGATTCCTAGCCTCGCCGTCAGATTCAAGAGGCTTACTGGTAGAGAGAGCCGCGTAGTGAGAAACGTGACTGTTCGAATCTCTCTTTTGTAAATTCAGCACAACGTCAACCATCGTTAAACGGATTCTCCGATCAGTTACCACCGTACGGTGAGAGTTAATGTCGAGTAACAACGCCACGTTTCCGATAACCGCCGCCATGAGAGCGCCACCACAATCGAGGAAGAAGTATGAACCAGAGAAACAGATTAGCTTAGAAGGAGAGAGAGATATTTCTAAATTACTGATTTTACCCAAATACCCTCATTTTCCAAATTTGAGTTGGCTCAAACTGACGATGCGTGTAAGGGTAGTTTGGTCATCGAGAAGCAAATCATGTCAAGCTTTCCTTGAGGACGCGTGTACGAAAAGCAAGAGATGCGCGCGTCTCACGTTTACTCCAACAGGGACAAAACCATGTCGTTTTAATAGTCTTGACGTTTTTACGATTAAGTGACCAACACCGAGACGTTTTCCGATTAGGTGACCAACATCGAGACGTTTTTATAGGAGTAAAACGTCACCGAGCTTACTCTGACGACAAGAAAGAACACTGAACAAGAAAGCTTGAAGCTTTGAGATTTGATGATACATATAAACTTCACCGATGGGTGAAAATCTTCAGATTTAAATCGAAAGATCATAACTTTAGGGTTTATCAAATTCGAATCAGTAAATCCAACATAGAAGAATATCAATTTCATGTTCTTCGTATCACAAAACCAAAAAAAAAGACAAAGCAGAAACTCACAACACAAAAGCTAAGATCTTGGTGAAGATCCAAGTGTAGATGACGGCGAGTGTAGCACCAACGGGAATAGTGACAAGCCACGAAGCAACGATCTCTTTCACAGTCTCAGCTCTCACACTATTAAGCCCTCTAGCGAATCCAACACCCATCACAGCTCCAACGAGCGTATGTGTCGCCGATATCGGAAGTCCTAACTTAGAAGCAAACAGAACCACCGACGCTGCGGCGAATTCCGCCGCGAATCCTCTTGTCGGTGTAAGTTCAGTGATCTTCTTCCCTATAGTTGCAATCACTCTGTATCCCCACATTGTAAGACCAGCAACGATTCCAAATCCTCCCCAAGCGAGAACATCCATAGGGATCACGATTTCAGCTCCTCCTGCAGCTGCTCCGTTTTGGAGGATGCTTAATGCGGCGGCTAATGGTCCGATTGCGTTGGAAACGTCGTTGCCTCCGTGAGCGAATGACATGAAGCAAGCGGAGAGAACTTGCATATAGCCAAAGATTCCGTAGACTATCTCTAGCTGTGTACCTGTTGGTCCTGCGATATCGGAGAGGAATCCGATAGCTTTGGGGGTGTTTTGAGATGTTTCCGGTGACTTGGTTTTAGCTAGGAGGTGACCAAGTTGTTTCCTGATGATTCTGTCAAAGACAATGGCTCCTGCTACTCCACAGGCTAAGGCTTGTGATAATGCTATTGGAAAGATCTTACTTAGAGGCAATGCGACTGAGGAGATACTAGCCACACCTACAAACACAGCGACAGGAGCAGCCGCTGCAGCTGCTTGTCCGGGGTTTGGTGCACTGTAAACAAACTGCACAGAACCAAAGAAGCTTGAGTATGACTTCAGAGATCTTTCAGAAATCGAAAGTTAGTTTCTTGTTTTCACTTACTCTCCTGATGCATTTGTAAACAAGGAAGGACACAAGAGCTCCTAACAGAGGAGAGATAACCCAAGATGAAGCAACTTTAGCTAGAGAACTCCAGAAAACAGCACCAGCTCCTCCATAGACAAGCCCAAATCCAACCATTGATCCGACGATACAGTGAGTTGTTGACACTGGCCATCCATAGTAAGAAGCCACCTATTAAATTCACAGTCACACAATTGTTTTTCTATTAGTTTCTATCATTTGGAAATTCCATCCTAAAAAAAGGTTCTAACTTTACTAAATCCTTTCTTGATGCTAGTGAGGAATAAGCAAAAGATAAGTTGGAACCTGTAACCAAGTCCCAGCTGCAGCCAAAGAAGAGAGGAGACCAGCAAAGAGCAACATATCTTTGCCTTGGAACACATTAGCCATGATAATCCCTTTCTGCATCGTGCTAGTCACGTGAGTTCCCATCAAAAGAGCACCTGAGAATTCAAGAACTGCAGCCGTCATCACAGCTTGTCGTATTGTGAGGGCTCCGGATCCAACAGAAGTTCCCATAGCATTGGCGACATCATTAGCTCCGATGTTCCAGGCCATGTAGAAACCAAAGAGCAGTGTTGCGTAAGAGAGAAGCTTAGTCTTGAGAGCCAGTCCTTGTCCCAGGGACTTCATAAAGAGTGGAAGACAAAGAGCAGAAAAGGCAATGACTATGGAGATTGCCCTAGCTGTGGTGGACGAAATGTGAAAGGCTTGAGCCATCCCAGAGAAGTCTCCAGTTGCTTCTGCATTACCTTTCCCATCGGATCCGCTTGAATCGGCAGAAGATTCGTGAGAATTCTGTATTGGTTGATCAGCATGGTGTTGCTCCTCTCCCTCAGAGTCTGCATAAGAAGAGAAACTAGCTAAAGGGCAGACGAGTTTCAGGGGAAGAGAAGTGTGTTTCTGAGAAGAAAGGAACAGAGCAGTGTTCTTCTTGAATAAAGGAGATTCCTTGGGAGAGAAACAACCAAGAGCTGATCTTGGTGTGCAGAGATGAGAAGTCTTAAGTAGCAGCGAGTGGTTTCTAACCGAAGAGAAACGATAAGGAAGAGTCATGACTGAAAAGTAGGAAGAGGAATTAGATTGTTATGTGGAATCAAGAGGTGAGAATGAGGAGAAGGTAGAGAGATGAGAATCTACATAGATGGGATATGGGCCATGGATGATGAGAAAGAAGATGGTGATGATATTGATGATGATGAAAAAGGATTTGCATAATGGGAATTTTTGATTTCAGGAGAGACGAGAAAGGGTAAGTGTTGGTGGCACCGGGGAATGTGAGGTGGAGGTGAGAGGATTGAGTTTGGATGTTTCTTGTGTTAAAGAGTGAGACTTTTGAACTTGTGTGGTTCTTGTGGAATGTTATTTGGTTGGGCCTCACATCCTCACTAATAATGCCCACTTGTAAAAGACGAGAAAAAGAAATGATTTGCGAATTTTGTTCTTTGGATGTGGAGTAAAAAAAAGAGAGAATTAGATGCAATTCTTTTTTATATCATGTCTATTATTCACGTGAATTAGATTTTAAAATCAGCTAACTTGTGTATTCTCAAGTCTCACTATCCCATAACATCTACAATAAACCTCTATAAACTAATAAGGTCGGGACTGGAAAAATATTTTAATAATTATTAATTAATAAAGAGATTTTTCTAATTTGAATTTTTTAAAAAATATATATACATCAAAAATAAGATTTATTTCCTTAAAATCAATTACAACAAAAACGATAATCATCACGAATGAAAAAAACATTATATGATACATGAAATCTATTAAAGTTGAATTCTAACAAAATTTGGGTAAAATTTTTGGGTAATCCGAAATAGATTTTGCTTGAAAGACAACTGTATGCCCGATAGTAAACTGCTTGAAAGACAACTGTATGCCCATTAGATTTAAAAGTTGTTTTGGATCGGCCCAAATACAAAAACTTGAGGAGAAAAAAATAATAACAGGCATGTTAAAAACCAAAACGTATCCTTTTAAGACTATTTCGGTAAAAGCAGAACTCTCTGCTTCTATCAGACCCGAAAAAATAATCAAACCCTAGAAATCGATTAGTTCGTCTTCTTCGATTCTCTTTTTGTGGTTGCTTCGATTTCGGGTATGGAGAAAGAAGAGCTTAACAAATTGAATCATCTCTCTCTCGTCTCCAATGTCTGTAACGAGTTAGAAACCCATCTAGGATCTGCGGAGAAAGTTTTGGCAGAGTTCATCATCGATCTCGGTCGTCACTCTGAGACTGTAGATGAATTCGATAAGAAGCTTAAGGATGAAGGTGCGGAGATGCCGGATTACTTCGTCCGGTCGTTGTTAACTGTAATCCACGCGATTTATCCTCCGAAGCCCAAGTCTGAGAAGAAGAAAGATGAAGGTGAGGATGTTAAATTCAAAGGTTTAGCGATTAAGGATACTAAGGATAAAGTTAAGGAGCTTGAGAAGGAGATTGAAAGAGAAGCTGAGGAGCGTCGGAGAGAGGAGGATCGGAATAGGGATAGAGAGAGGGGACGGGATCGGAGGGATTCTGGTAGAGATAGGGATAGAGATAGAGATAGGAATCGTGATGATAGAAGGGATCGACATAGGGATAGAGAGAGATACCGTGGAGATGAGGAAGGTGAAGATGACAGAAGAAGTGATAGGAGGCATAGAGAAAGAGGTCGTGGTGATGATGAAGGGGAAGATAGGCGTAGAGATAGACGTGCTAAGGATGAGTATGTGGAGGAAGATAGAGGTGGTGCGATTGCGAATGAGCCTGAGTTGTATCAGGTATATAAAGGGAGGGTTACTAGGGTTATGGATGCGGGATGTTTTGTTCAGTTTGATAAGTTTAGAGGAAAAGAAGGTCTTGTTCATGTTTCTCAGATGGCTACTAGAAGGGTTGATAAGGCTAAGGATTTTGTCAAACGGGATATGGAGGTTTATGTGAAAGTGATATCTATTACGAATGATAAGTATAGTCTTTCTATGAGAGATGTTGATCAGAATTCGGGAAAAGATTTGATTCCTCTGAGGAAGCCTTCAGATGAAGATGATTCATCCAGGAGTAATCCTTCATATAGAACAAAGGATGGACAAGTAACGAAGACTGGGATTTCTGGAATCCGGATTGTGGAGGAGAATGATGTTGCGCCTTCACGCAGGCCGTTGAAGAAGATGAGCTCTCCTGAGAGATGGGAAGCGAAGCAGTTGATTGCTTCTGGTGTCTTGAAAGTTGATGAGTTTCCGATGTATGATGAGGATGGAGATGGGATGCTTTATCAAGAGGAAGGTGCTGAAGAAGAACTTGAGATTGAGATGAATGAAGACGAACCTGCTTTCTTACAAGGGCAAACTAGGTACTCTGTTGACATGTCTCCTGTTAAGATCTTCAAAAATCCTGAGGGTTCGTTGAGTCGCGCAGCTGCACTTCAGTCCGCCCTCACCAAGGAGAGGAGAGAAATGAGAGAACAGCAGCAAAGAACAATGCTTGACTCTATCCCCAAGGATCTGAATCGTCCATGGGAAGACCCTATGCCTGAAACTGGTGAAAGGCATCTGGCTCAAGAGCTTAGGGGTGTTGGGTTATCAGCTTATGACATGCCTGAGTGGAAGAAGGATGCCTTTGGAAAAACTCCAACTTTTGGACAGAGATCAAAGCTTTCTATTCAGGAACAAAGGGAGAGCCTTCCGATTTACAAGTTAAAAAAAGAGCTTATACAGGCTGTGCATGATAATCAAGTTTTGGTGGTCATTGGTGAGACTGGGTCTGGAAAGACAACACAGGTAACTCAATATCTTGCTGAAGCAGGTTACACAACAAAGGGAAAGATTGGGTGTACTCAGCCTCGTAGGGTTGCTGCTATGTCTGTTGCTAAGAGAGTAGCTGAGGAATTTGGTTGTCGTTTAGGAGAGGAGGTAGGGTATGCGATTCGGTTTGAGGATTGTACTGGACCAGACACAGTGATCAAGTACATGACTGATGGTATGCTTCTTAGGGAGATTTTGATAGATGAAAACCTTTCTCAATATTCTGTAATCATGCTTGATGAAGCTCATGAGCGGACAATCCACACTGATGTGCTGTTTGGTCTTCTAAAGAAGCTGATGAAACGTCGTCTTGATCTTCGTCTGATTGTCACGTCTGCCACGTTGGATGCAGAAAAGTTCTCTGGGTATTTCTTCAACTGCAACATTTTTACCATTCCTGGAAGAACCTTTCCTGTTGAGATTTTGTATACCAAACAGCCAGAAACAGATTACTTGGATGCAGCCCTGATCACAGTTCTGCAGATTCACTTGACTGAACCTGAGGGTGACATTCTCGTCTTTTTGACAGGACAGGAAGAAATTGATTCTGCATGTCAATCTCTGTACGAGAGAATGAAAGGTCTAGGTAAAAATGTTCCTGAACTTATCATACTTCCAGTTTACAGTGCCCTTCCTAGTGAGATGCAGTCTAGAATTTTTGATCCTCCCCCTCCTGGTAAACGGAAAGTGGTTGTAGCTACAAATATTGCAGAAGCTTCGTTAACAATAGATGGTATATACTATGTTGTTGATCCTGGGTTTGCAAAGCAGAATGTGTATAATCCAAAGCAAGGGCTGGAATCGCTAGTCATTACTCCAATTTCACAGGCATCGGCAAAGCAAAGAGCTGGACGTGCTGGTCGTACTGGGCCCGGGAAATGTTACCGTCTCTACACAGAGAGTGCATATCGTAATGAGATGCCTCCTACATCAATCCCTGAAATTCAAAGAATCAATCTTGGAATGACAACTTTAACCATGAAAGCCATGGGCATTAACGACCTGTTATCATTTGACTTCATGGATCCACCTCAACCACAAGCATTGATCTCTGCAATGGAACAGTTGTACAGCCTGGGAGCTTTGGATGAGGAAGGTTTGTTGACGAAGCTTGGTAGAAAAATGGCGGAGTTTCCTCTTGAACCGCCGCTCTCTAAAATGTTGCTAGCAAGTGTGGATCTCGGGTGCAGCGATGAGATTTTAACAATGATTGCTATGATCCAGACAGGCAACATATTCTATAGACCAAGGGAGAAGCAAGCTCAAGCAGACCAAAAACGGGCAAAGTTTTTCCAGCCTGAAGGTGATCACTTGACATTGCTGGCTGTATATGAGGCTTGGAAGGCAAAAAACTTTTCAGGTCCATGGTGTTTTGAAAACTTCATACAGTCAAGATCGTTACGACGTGCTCAAGACGTAAGGAAACAACTTCTCAGCATTATGGACAAGTAAGTATAACTAAACTAATATTGAGCTCAGCTTGTTTTGATAATGTGTGACAATCCAAGTCCAATTTCTTAACTCGTGATTTGTATGTTTGCAGATATAAACTAGATGTGGTAAGTGCGGGGAAGAATTTCACGAAGATAAGGAAAGCAATAACGGCAGGCTTCTTCTTCCATGGAGCAAGAAAAGATCCACAAGAAGGTTACAGGACACTGGTGGAGAATCAACCGGTGTATATTCACCCGAGCAGCGCGCTGTTCCAGAGACAACCAGACTGGGTTATATATCACGATCTTGTGATGACGACCAAAGAGTACATGAGGGAAGTAACAGTGATTGACCCAAAGTGGCTTGTTGAGTTAGCTCCAAGATTCTTCAAAGTCTCTGACCCAACGAAAATGAGCAAGCGCAAGCGCCAAGAACGGATTGAGCCTTTGTATGACCGTTACCACGAGCCTAACTCATGGCGTCTCAGCAAAAGACGTGCTTGAGAGATTTTTCCTTTTTTTGGTAAACCTATTCTTCATCCTTGCGCTTGTTTTTGCTTGCCATCTTCAAATGTACTCTGTTTATGTATTGAAAGCTAACAGAAGTGATGGATGAGCCATAGATTATATAGCTGCAGCCATCGTTTTTTTCTTGACATGTATGGAAAATTCATCTTTCCTTGAAGTTGATTGTGTTAATCTGTGTAGAACATGCAGGTATGTTTTATTATTCACTCTTTTAGAGAGATATAGATGAAGTATGATGTGAGTTTAGGCATTTCTGCGACTAGTTATTTGATTTGTCAATCAGATGCTCAGAACTATGGTAGTAGAGCAGTTGGATGGTCTATGCCTTGTCTTCGTACAAATAACGAATCAGTTTTATTCACTTTAAGAAAATTTCTCTTTCCCTGATCGCTAAAAAACAAATTTGGGATCTTATCAGGTTACCAAGACAATAAATAATAAAATTATACTTTGATTCGAAAATCTGTATTAAAAATTCATTAATTTGGAACTACTCGAACTCAATTATTGACAACTTTTCTATAACAAAGAATATAAAAAGACCAAGCTTAGCTGTATTCCCAAGTTTTATGTATTCAAGATCAACTGAGGCGAGAGTGAGAAGGAAAATATCACAAAATATCCAAATTCTCATTGTAGTAGCAGCCATGAGTTCCATGGGTGTATTCCGGAAAGTGGAAATGGATGAAAAGTCATATTTAATATACACAGACCATCCAACCTCCTCCACTGAAGCTCTAGCTGTGGATTCTAATGGTGAAGACCTCCCTCACCTACCTCATTTTTTCTGTCCTAATGCTCGTATAAGATCTCATAAGCTCAAAGTAGAGAAGAACTTTGATGGTGTTGATTTCTTCAAGTTTCATCCATTCAATTCTTACCCTAACTTCCCAAACACAAGAAGCGGTGATCAGCAAGGCGAATCTTTGCTTGACTACGACCATCACCATGGTATTACCTGTAAGCTCCCTGTACTTCCTCTGTTTTGGTGCAACAATAAAAACCCTGATTGCCATGAGTTTAAGTGTGGTGCATGCCAAATGGAAACGCTTAGTGTAAAGTATTACACATGTCTTGAATGTGAAGAAAAGTTTCACAAAGAATGTGTAGAGTCTCCTCTTGAGATTAAACACCCTTCCCATCCTTTTCATTCTCTTCGGCTTTACAGCCATCCAACGCATATGGTGTGCATTAGTTGTGGAAGACTTGTGTCCAACATGTTTTATCATTGTGTGACATGTGATTTGAGTATGGATCCGATTTGCGCAATGGAACCGATACCCTTCGTTTTAGACCATCCAAAAAGCCATCCTCACCCTCTCACTTTTTTCCCTACACAAGCTTCTTTAGTTTGCAATATTTGTTCTCTTGTTAAGAAGCTTGATCCTACATACATATGTATTCAATGTGTCTTCGTCATTCATAAAGATTGTATCGGTTACCCACATGTCATAAGAATATCTCGACACCAACACCGTATCTCCTTTACCTCTTCTCTACCGTATGGAAACTTGTCTTGTGGAGTGTGTCGTCAAGAGGTTGACAACAATTATGGAGCATACTCTTGCAAGAAATGTGATTCTTGTTTTGTTCATTCAAAATGCGCATTTCATAGAAATGTTTGGGATGGAAAAGAACTCAAAGGAGTATCAGAAGAAGAAGATATAATAGATGATGGTGAGCCATTTTTGAGGATAGCTGATGGAATAATACTTCATCCGTATCATAATCACTATCTACGACTTGAGACCAGCCGAGTTTACGATGAAAACAAGTATTGTCGAGGGTGTGCTCTTCCAATCTACGAAGGTCAATTCTATTCATGCATGGAATGTGAGTTCATCCTCCATGAAAGTTGTGCAAATGCTCCACGCATGAAACGACATCCCTTACATCCACATCCACTTACACTAAATGTTACTACAAAGGAGCTTGGTAATAACAACGAAGGCATGTACCATTGTTGTGTTTGTGGTCGTAACGGTACTGGCTTCTTCTATGACCATCATATAGGAGAAAGAAGATTCCGGCTAGACTTAAGGTGCGCCTCAATTACCGAACCCTTTGAATATCAATGCCATAAACATCCCTTGTTCCTAGCTTCTGAGCTAGAGAGAAAGGTACGATGTCAAATATGCAAAGGAAAAAGCTATTCAAAACTAAACTGCATGGAATGCGATTACATTATATGTTTTCGTTGCGTTACCTTCCCATACAAGGTAAGGTACAAGCATGACAGTCATTTTCTTAGAATATGTGATGGGAAAAAGGCAAGTGATGAACCAGACTGGTGTGAGATTTGTGAAGGCAAAATAGAAGAAGTAAAAGAAAGAGAGTCTCCGTGGGACGAAAGAAAAGAAACACGGTTTTATAAATGCAATGACTACTGCCAAACGAGTCTTCACGTTGAATGCTTACTTGGGAGAGACATGTACATGAAGCCTGGTCATAGTGTAAAAGATTACGTTTCTTTTTCTAAGCACTCACTAGGAAGTGAAGGTACGACATGGACAGATGTTAGGATTCTTCTCAACAGTTCACTCTCTCGACCAATATGCACTGCATGTATGCGACGATGTAAGTTCCCAATAGTTTTCAAAGGCTACGATTCAATATTTTGTTCTTGGGATTGTATTGGATATAACGACATGGTGGCTGAGCATCGAACAAGTTAAGCAGAGTTATAGTTTCAGGTATTTTTTTTATACAACCTCTGTTATTTTACCGTTTAATAAAATCTTTGGTTACGATGATCTTTGTGGTCAGATTCATGAACCATGGCATTGCATGAACTAGGCACAATGATATAGTGTGAGAAAATATCCTCAAGCCCGGCCCGTCTAAGGCCCAAAAAACCTTATACATATATAGTAAACGACATCGTTTCGTTGTTTCGCTCTCCTCTTCGTTTACTCCTTTTCGTCCCCTGTTTAAATCTTCGTTGTCTCGGGGTTTTAGGTTGCAGGGTTTAGAGTCTGTTCCTTCTTCAATGTACGTAACACATGAAGGTACATAATTTTAATTTCTGATATAGTTGCAGCAGTCTCTTTCTCTTATTTTGATTCAATGTCCATAACTTTTGTTACAATTCTAGATTGATGTTATATGTTCTTCAATTCTGGATTGCTTCGGATTCAGAAAGTCTCCGACTTTATTCAATTTAAAGAAGTTATATATGATTCATAGAGCTTGCAATGATCCGTTAAAGTCTCAATCTTTCAGGATCATGAACCATGGCAGTGACCGGAGTTTCTTCTGCCGTTGGCCGTCTTTTCAAACAAGATCAAACCCACAAGCGTGTTATCGCTACACGGCCCAATTTTACAGTGACCCGTCAAATTGTTGAGCACCTCGAAGGAGGCAGTGTATCGAAAGCTGTCTCTGTTCTCTTTGCTTCTCCAGAGCCAGTTGCGTACTGGCTATACGAGCGTCTTTTCCGATGTTGTTCCTCGAAATCACTTGTTGTGCAAGCCCGTAAGGTCCAATCCCATTTAGTAACTTTCTCTCCGTTGCCTCCGATTTTTCTATGGAACAGAGCTATTGAGGCTTATGGGAAATGTGGGTGTGTTGATGATGCACAAGAACTGTTTGAGCAAATGCGTGAACGAGATGGTGGGTCTTGGAACGCTGTGATTACTGCTTGTGCGCAGAACGGTGTCTCGGATGAGGTGTTTCGTATGTTTCGTAGGATGAGTAGGGATGGGGTAAGAGCTACGGAGACTTCTTTTGCTGGTGTTTTTAAGTCATGCGGGTTAATCTTGGACCTGAGATTATTGAGGCAGCTGCATTGTGCTGTGGTCAAGTATGGGTTTTCGAGAAATGTAGATTTGGAGACGTCGATTGTTGATGTTTACGGTAAGTGTCGGGTTATGAGTGATGCGAGAAGAGTGTTTGATGAGATTGAAAACCCTAGTGATGTTTCATGGAATGTGATTGTGCGGCGGTATCTTGAGATGGGTTTTAATGATGAGGCAGTGGTAATGTTCTTCAAGATGCTAGAGTTGAATGTTCGACCTTTGAATCACACGGTTTCTAGTGTTATGTTAGCTTGTTCAAGATCCTTGGCCCTTGAGGTGGGAAAGGTAATCCACGCCATTGCTGTCAAAATTAGTGTTGTGGAAGATACAGTTGTTTCTACTTCCATCTTTGATATGTATGTAAAATGTGACAGATTGGAGAGTGCTCGCAGAGTATTTGACCAAACCAAATCAAAAGATTTAAAATCTTGGACTTCAGCGATGTCGGGATATGCAATGAGTGGTATAACTAGAGAGGCAAGGGAGCTGTTTGATCTGATGCCTGAACGAAATATAGTCTCATGGAACGCAATGTTGGGTGGATATGTACGTGCTCATGAATGGAATGAGGCACTGGATTTTCTCACTTTGATGCGCAAGGAGATCGAAGATATTGATAATGTCACTCTTGTCTGGATCCTAAATGTCTGCTCAGGTACATCAGATGTTCAAATGGGGAAGCAAGCTCATGGTTTTATTTACCGACATGGATATGATACAAATGTAATTGTAGCCAATGCACTTCTTGATATGTACGGAAAATGTGGTACTTTGCAGAGTGCCAATATTTGGTTCCGCCAAATGAGTGAACTGAGGGATGACGTTTCATGGAATGCTTTATTGACTGGTGTAGCTCGAGTTGGCAGGAGTGAACAAGCTTTATCTTTCTTTGAAGGGATGCAAGTGGAGGCCAAACCTAGCAAATACACACTCGCAACGCTCTTAGCTGGTTGTGCAAACATTCCTGCTTTAAATTTAGGCAAAGCAATCCACGGGTTCCTGATCAGAAATGGCTATAATATTGATGTTGTTATAAGGGGGGCTATGGTGGACATGTATTCAAAATGCCGATGTTTCGACTATGCTATTGAAGTATTCAAAGAGGCAGCTACACGGGACTTGATTCTATGGAACTCTATTATCCGTGGATGTTGTCGTAATGGAAGAAGCAAGGAGGTCTTTGAGTTGTTCATGCTTTTGAAAGATGAAGGAATCAAGCCTGATCATGTCACCTTTCTGGGAATCTTACAAGCTTGCATACGTGAAGGCCATGTCGAACTCGGCTTTCAGTATTTCAGTTCTATGAGCTCCAAATATCTTATATTACCACAGGTTGAGCATTATGATTGTATGGTTGAACTCTACTGCAAGTATGGATGCTTGCATCACCTTGAAGAATTTCTCCTCTTGATGCCTTTTGATCCACCCAAGCAAATGTTAACAAGGATATATGATGCTTGCCAAAGATACGGCTGGAAAAAGTTAGGAGCATGGGCTGCTAAACGGCTTCATGATTGATCATCACCTTCAGCCACAATGTATAACTGAAACAAGGAAACCGTTTCCTGCAGTCATATCGGAGCATATGCATATAGAAGGATTGAAATCTGTGGGCTTTTGAAGACCAGGAAGAGCAACGGGAACGAAGCAGTTGAAACAGGAAGTGAACTGATAAGAGAGACAACATTAGTCTAACCTGACTCTATAAATCATATGTTTCTTCAGAAGGTAATCAAAAATTCTCAACTCTTCTTTTTTCAATTGCATTTCTTGGACTTCTATGTGAGTGTGTGTGCACCTGCAGTTCTCTCCATTTGTATTCATTGATCACATATTATTTCGTTTCTCCTCTTATTTGATGTTTGATTCATTGGTAACTCTATGTTCTACTTCTAGGTAGTGCTTTGTGCTCGATTGGTGGCGACTATGTGAACACTAATTTCCTTTTTTAACATCTTTCGTTATGTAGTTGTTCCAGTCAGTGATAGAACTGATGATTGAAGTATACGTTGCGTAATATTGTGTCTTATAATAGGATGAACTTTATTTCCGTGTAGGTGAAACTAGACTTTTATACTCTCTTGAACCTGATTTTTCTCGAGTATCAGTTTGCATATTATATTGTGACAAGGCTTTCTGCATTTGAACTCGTGCTTGAATGTTTGTGTCTTGATTTGAAGTAAGTGGTATTAAGATACCTGTTGATGAATGAGCAGAAGTGTTTTCGATCTGGTCATTTTTTGCTTCTCAAAATTCATTAAACTGTTCAAATTGAAATCAGGTATAAAAGATATGTCTTGACCCCAAAAAAGGCCAGAGCAATAGAGCTTTTGAGTCTTTTCGCTTGGAATGTGGTAGACCCTCTGATATGGTAAGCTTTCAAGTCTCTGATATGGTACTGAAGCTGCTTTTTGTGTGTTTAAAAGTTAGATGGAAGTTTGATGTTTGAGATATTAAACTTTTTGTGATCAGTGATCAGATATGTCCAAGCAAAAGCTAAAACAGCAAAGCTTACGTTTTAGCTTCCACAACCATAAGGTAGTGTTGTTATTCATTCTCATGTATAAATTATAGCTTGATCTCTGACTTTTCGCATTTCTGCGACCAATTTAACACCATTGTTTTGTTTTGTTTAATCTTTGTTTTTCACTTTCACAGTCTTGAAATTTAAAGATTTCAGATGTGTATACAAAGCAGCTGTAAAGTTAGAACGTTTAGAGCTTCATATTAGTTTCCCACTTACATGTTTCTTGATGTATATGTATTTAGTTTTAATTTATTCGGCTATACAATATTCAATTTTTTCTGCTATACAATTTTCATTGAGCATATTGTATAACCTACTTATTATTTTGCAATGAAATAACATTATAGCATATGAAAGATTAAGGAATAATTAAGTCTACTAAATAAGTCTACATATAAATTAAAATTGAGAAGTGACAAAAACATACTAACCATTTCTTTTGGACTAATGCTGTTTATAATACATATATGGTCCTACTATTATGGATCGCAATAACCAAGTCATTCTTAGTATTCTAATCTTAATTACGTATACATATGAAATACACGTAAACCTTATCTCTTTGGACATTAGTAGTATTATTGTTTCGCCTTGCTTTTGTTTCTTCTAAACTAGATTTGTTAAACCATACCATAATACATAACGTCGACGATGGTAAAAGATAGTTTAAGAAAGTAACTTTTGTTGCGGAAGAAAACAATTTGTGTTGTCGCATATTGCATTGCATTATTATGTTCACCATCTTATAAAAGTAGACTCAACTCAACATGTACTATACATATGAACGTTGAAATTTCGTGTATCAATGATTGATAAGAAAATCATATAGTACTATTTATAAACCATTTTTAAAAACTCCAAACAATGTTTCTAGTCGACCAAAAGACAAAGAGCACTTCTACGCCATTTCTCGTGTCTATAAAACTCAATAGTTTTTCTAAAGTAGCCCTATCTAAAACTTTAAAGAATCCAAAATATGTACACTTACACGTGGTGCACGTAGTCGCGACCGTGACATTTTTTTTATTATTTCTCTTGTGTTTATTAGCTTACGGACGTATTAAAAAAGTTTCATCAAATGATTAGATGCTCTCATATAGTTTTTATATTGTTTGAACTAATCTGTTTGTTATGCATAATTAACGAAAGAATAAGTTTGGCTAAGCCATATCCTAAAAGCATATTCTTCTTCTCGGTTCTGTAACGAAATGGTAGTATTATTTTGGTCAATCGTTGCATCAAGACAAATTCTACTATTTTATGGAGCCTTGTAACTATTAATAGAGCATATAGTGTAATAGTGATATAGAATTATGAAAATATACATATTTTTGGTGCATGGTGTTTAGGGTTTTACTTGAGCGAGTTAAATTTTTATTGGACATAGATTGTTTTTGTAATCGAATAAATTACAAAATGATTCTATTAATATTTTAGGTTTTCTATCATAATAGTTATAATTTGTACCACTACATATATGATTCGTGAATAGTAAATACAATACGAACTTCTCCCCCTTAACCACAACAACCATCTAATCCTATGTTTCTTTTTCTTTTTTTTGTTACCAAAATTCAGCATATAAATCTTATTCAATTATTTATAATGTTAATGTATGATCATGAGAACTTGATAGGTCCAATATCCCCACCGGCCATGGTGTCAGGCCGGCGATAATGGAGAAAAAAAGATTCACGGACCTGTCCACATTATTCTGTTCTTGTATAATAATTAGCTTGATTTGACAACAGTGAATTATCATGTTTTGTTTTCAAGAAAATAGTACTCTTGATGTTAAATTCGATCGTTGTCTAAAGTTTTAACTAATCAAAAGACAATATAAAACTAAAGTTAATTACAAGATCGATATTTCTTCCTATAGTTTAAAATGCCTAATTCTATAAGCATGGATAAAAATCCTTGAATGAAAGTTTTGTCCCAACAAATGCTCAAATCAACAATAACCCCTATAAAACTAGGATATGTAATAATTTTTCTTATATTTTATATATAAATTTCCTTCTGTTATTCTATATTGATTTTAATTATTTACACTTCCACCTGTTGTTTTTTTAATCAAACATTACGAATCACAAAACTAAATTAAACCGCAAGAAATATATGATTTATGTGGAGTTTTTGAAACCATAAATTAGAAACTTAGGAATCTCCTGTTTAAGACAAAAATCGAAAAAAGTTATAATGAAAAATTTTAGGCCAGAAAATTTAGAAGAAATGAAAAAAATAAATTATGGGAGCAAAAAAAAAAAAAAGAAAGAAAGGTCATAAAAGTGGAAGAGGGTAAGGACAGGCTGGCACTTGTGATTGGTCATTGACAAATCCAGCTGTAATCCATTCACTCACTCTCTAAACCTTATCCCGACCGACACGTGATCAAACTAACCCCACCCATGTGACGTCTTTTTATCCCTAACCGTCTCGGTTCGTTACTAACCGGTTTTTATTTTGTCTGGTTCGACCGCAAGTTCTTGCTAAACCCCTCAATCTAATTAGCTCTTTAATTTTTATTTTTTTTTACATCAATTTGGCATTTTATTAAACCACTCCCATTTCATTTTCAACATCTATCAGATAATTTATTTATTAATTATAAAATACTGTAAATACCATTTTTCTAATTTGGTAATGTATATTATGCAGATAGGTGTATGTATATTTGACTATTTCAGAATCGAATCTAATTGGTAATACATGCCTATCTTAGACAAATTCAATATAGTATATGTTTAGGATTTTTCAAAAAAAAGATTGTATTCTATATAAATACTTGACTGGCTCACATATACTATAATTTAAACTCTGTATAATGTAATTAATATTAGTTTTCTTTTTTCAAGTTAAAACGCCAAGAAAAAAAAGCGATAAATTATGGATAAAATACCTTTTTATCACAATTAAATTCCACATACGTACTCTAGTTTTAACACCCTGTAAAATAAAATAAAATAAATCGTTTATTTGACAAGAAATGGATTTGATCACACTTGGGACTTGGCTAGCTATATAAATACCTACTACACTAAAGAAAAACCAAACCAATCATTTCACAAAACCCATCACTCTCTACCACACAAAGCTTTAACCCTAAGCCCTTCTCCGATCATGCCGACCCGAAACATAGCCATTGGTGGAGTCCAACAAGAGATCACTCACCCTAGCGCACTTAGAGCGGCACTCGCTGAGTTCATCTCGACTTTGATCTTCGTCTTCGCCGGCTCAGGCTCTGGAATCGCTTTCAACAAGCTCACTGACAATGGAGCCACCACTCCTTCCGGCCTTGTCTCCGCTGCCTTAGCTCATGCTTTCGGTCTTTTCGTTGCTGTTGCAGTCGGTGCTAACATCTCCGGTGGTCATGTTAACCCCGCTGTTACCTTCGGTGTTTTCATCGGTGGTAACATCACTCTCCTCCGTGGTATTCTTTACTGGATTGCTCAGCTTCTTGGCTCCGTCGCCGCTTGTTTCCTCCTTAGCTTTGCCACTGGTGGCGAGGTAACTTCACTTACTTCATACCTCACTAATTAAGCTATAATCGAATCTAGTACAAAAACAGATCTTATTGGGGTTTAGCTTTGGTTTATGTCGAGCAAAAATGCGTTATTAGTTTTGTAATTATAAAACCGTGTTAATGTTAATTTTGTTCTAATTCCGACCATGTGTTTTGTTTTCTCTGTTTTTGTGGTTTGGTTCGAAATTATATTCGTTTTGACTTTATAACTGATTTGTTCGTTGGTTTATAATCGATTATGATTTATGAGTATTCCAACTTAAAAAACACCCGTTTGACCTAACTTCTCCGGCAAGTAAATAAAACCTAATTTTCAATTTTTTTTCCAGCCAATTCCAGCGTTCGGGCTCTCTGCCGGAGTCGGATCCCTAAACGCTTTCGTCTTCGAGATCGTGATGACCTTTGGACTAGTCTACACCGTATACGCCACAGCCGTTGACCCAAAGAACGGTAGTCTCGGAACAATCGCACCAATCGCCATAGGTTTCATCGTTGGAGCTAACATCCTAGCCGGTGGAGCTTTCAGCGGAGCCTCAATGAACCCAGCAGTTGCTTTCGGACCAGCCGTTGTGAGCTGGACATGGACTAACCACTGGGTTTACTGGGCTGGTCCTCTCGTCGGTGGTGGACTCGCCGGAATCATCTACGATTTCGTCTTCATCAACGAAAACGAACACGAGCAATTGCCAACCACCGATTACTGAAAATGTTGCTAAAAGTTTCATGAATTTTTCGTGATTTGTTTTTTTAATATATTTGGCATTGTAATGGGTTTCTGGCCGTTGGATCTTTTAAGATGAATCTTTGTCTATGTGTATTTGGATTTGTTATTGGAGTTCTAATTTTCTTGAAATGTTCTTGTTAATTACTATAAGTCTATAACTGAGAAAACAAACCAGGGAACGTGAGTTAAAGAACCGTAGCTAATTAGATTAAAAAAAAAGAACAGAGTATTGAATTTTTGTTTCTTTTTATAAATTATGATTGTGATTGTGTCTTAAAAAAAAATCAAAAAAAAATTATGTTCGGACAAAAGTGTGATCTAGACGTAGAGTGGAATGTGTAACTTATATTAGGTGGATCAACGCAAGATGCAGTTTAGTTTAAGCAAATTATGCATTTTTTTTAATAACAAAGAGTTCAAACAATTAAGCCAAGACCGTGGGGTGTTGTTTACATAAGTGAATTATGCATTTTAATATTTCTCTTTCTCACTTAAACCAAATGTGGCTAAACTTAACGATATATATCTTAAAATACCATCTTTATAAAATACTAGCAGTTGACCCGCGCTCTGCGCGGGAGATTTATAATTTTGTTTCGTTGATTTTTTATTCATATTGTGATATTTTATTATTATTTTTAATTGATTTTCAAAAATATTATAATTATTTTCTCTTTAATTATTATCTTTCAATACTCAAATTTGGATTAAAAGCATTTGATTCAATTTATGAAATATCATTTTTTTCTTTTTGATCATGTTATAAACTAATATTTCACTTTCATTTTATTTTTCCTCTTTATAATTTTATATATACAATTACATAAATGTTGTTTTAGTCTACCATAAATTTAAATTTTACTTCCATTCTAAAACTCAGTAACATATTTAAAATATTAAATTATGATCAATTTAAAATGAAAGTTGAAATATATTATTATCACTAATAAAAAAATTAAAGTATTGTTTTTCTTATTTTAACATTTCATTTTTTACATAATTTATTTTTATTTATATAAACTTTTGATTAATTAAATAAGTAACATAAATATGCACTAAATGAATGTTTTGAATTTATTTTAATGTTTAAACAAAAATGTGGCTTAGGTGGCATCATGAGAAGAGAGAAAAAGCTAACTTTATATATATAGATAATTACATTTAATATTTAGCCAAAAAAAGGTTTTGGAAACACTTTAGCACATACTCACATAAATTATTTAAAACTCACTCGATTATTATTAATTTTACATGCATAGTGATAATTACTACCATTTTGGCCTAAAAGTTTTAAGAATATATATATATATATATATATGTGTGTGTCTTCAAAAATGGTTTTTATATTTCATACTAATATATATATATATATATATATATATAAAAAACATACATTTCATTTTCTTGTATATTAAATCCCGTTAGCTCTCATGCATAATATATGAGTGTGCCCTTATGTAATTACGAATCGGTTCATCTTTCAATTTATACAATAACTCCACAAAGACAAGTCATGAGTTCTGATCAATAAGGCGTTTTATTTGAGCGGAAGAAAAATTATCAATATCGCCTTATAAGCAACAACATGTTTGATCGCTCCATGTCGTCCAATCACACTATTACTATTTTTTTTCTACTTTGTTATTTCTTCTTCCAACATTTCGGCGAAGGGGACATTTTGGTCATTGGAATGTCAATTTTGTTTGGTTTCGAAACGTGAATAGCAATAGAAGGATGGGAATAGATTCGCTAAAATCTTGGTAGGGTTCAATGGATAATAAAGTTCGTGAAACGATTGGACGAACACAAGAACCATCTACCTCTTAAGAGAACCTACCCTACCACCAGGGCCAGCCACAACATGACTTAATAATAGTTCTGCATGCTAAAAAACAAAAAGTTCAAAGTGCCACTCTTCCTAATTTATTACTATGCCATAACCAAAATATCCAAAAACACTAATCGTTCAAAAGACACAGAGATAAGACCGATGAAACCAAACCAAAACATGCATGTGGACGGTAATCTAATACATTGATCCATTTTTTACTGTTCTTTCTAATGAATCAGCTTGATTTTTGATAATGTGGACGTAAAAAAAAAAAAAAAAAAAAAAAAAAAAAAGATTTGCGAAGATAGACTAGAACTAACCAGCTAACTCTAGGCTTACCAACCCACGAAGAGAAGAATTGAAGACAATAAATTATATATACACATGCAGATGCATTTTATATGTACCATATGCAATTACCATGTGCATCGTTGGACCATTCGTACACGACGCACCATTACTTAATGGTTCCTACCTTCCTTTTTGTTCTTTCCATATAAATCTATTCCATTTTCTGACACACACTAATCCGTATGTCTTCCCATTTACGGCATTTAAAGAAAAAGAGTGAGGGAGAGATTGACGTCGATCATTTCTTAGAAAATTCAAAGGGATATATAACACATGCAAAACCTCGCTAACATCTAAATGAAACCTTGATATCAGTTTTATCTCCTAAACTTAGATTCTTTTGGTTTTCTTGATGATGAACACATTTTTTTTTACATTTATGAGTAAACATATAATAAATTTTACATTTGGTTTGGTAAAAGTATGTGGAATACACTAATTGACTGTGAGCTATTCTGAAATAAGAAGTACACCAGTAAGGCACATGGCTGAGGTTTTGTTTTTGGGGTTGCATCATATCCCAGCCAGTTTTGTTTTGTCTTAATACTTCAATTTCTGTTTCAGACAATGTAATAACAGTGTTCAAACATTGAACTGGAGATATGTTGGATTGGACCTGTCCTGTTTAAGAATATAAAAAATAAATTCTAACACAAAAAGAAGCAATTCCCAACTAAAATTCAAATTAATTCTGAAATCTTTTATGTTAGGTATTGTATATCGTAGTTATAGCCAACATACATTTTTTGAGTAATAGACTCACTATAATCATAGTTCCAAATTCTCCTTGAAGACGCGATTTAGAAGGTGCACATGAATCACATAGTAACATATACACTCTCCAATATAATTTCTTAGTGTTTTTTTTTTTCAATTGCAGACAGATTATAATATAATGTCTCTCCCATTTGCTTTTGCGTTTTTGGTTGGTCAGCATTTTCCCATTTTTGTTTAGGATCATTTTTTGGAGGACACAATATTTTAGTCTTTTATGAAAATTTCAAAAGTTGGCATGGCGTTGGTCGGTTTGGATTGGAGCAAGTAAAAAGTTCAGAAATTCTAATGCATAGAGATCACATATTCAAGTTTTGGTCGGTACGTTCACGTTCTCCCGTCATTCTCCGACCAACTACGTCCACGTCTCTCTGTCTCTACTACCCAATAAACGTAATCATTTTTTCAGGATTTTTATATACATTTATTTTCTTAGGAAAGTTAGGTCCTACAACACCATAACGTGCCGATTTAGAAAAAGGACCAATAGTTATACACTTATACTATATATATAAGTAAAAAAAAAGAGTTAATATTATATATATGTGTGTGATAAATATGTTAACAGTAAATTAGTGTTTTTTTTTTTTAATTTAAAAAATATGAAATATGAGTTTTTTTTTCCATATTTTGTGTTAGTACTTAGTAGCTAGATATGACCACTTCCAGTTTTTATGTAATTAAAAATAAATTTGTCTATTTTTTCGATAAAAATTTGGTAAAGAAAATTAGAAAATTGTTGTCTACTGTTTGTATATTTCGTCCAAAATAAAAGTTTGTACTTTGTATAATTGAGATTTGAGAATATTTGTATGCTACGAAATTGTACATGCTCAAGCTCACCCTACTTGAAATAGTCAAATATTTTTGTCGTCGTTGTGGATGAACTCAAAAAATAAATTTGGCAAGTTGAAAATTTTGTAAGCCCATCTATTATGTTAATATGAGATTCTCTGAAAGAGCCGTTGTTCTTATACGAGGCCTGACCCAGCTCGAATGGGGCAATGGTCCAGAAAATTTATAAATCGTTGTTCCCCTAATGAACCTGCTTATTAAGAAGACCCACAAAAAACAATTTATGTCTCTTGTGAGTTAACTAACTCTATATGCATTCATTCTCCAAAGTTTATGCAATGTAATATATGTTCGAAAAATTTACTCACCAAATTTTAAAATAAACTTTTACTGCAACACTGTAGTAAACGTTATAATTTTTCGTCTAACTGTAATTTGTAACAAATTTACTAAAAAGATATTAGGTTTGATTGGTAAATCCATATGTCGCTTTGATATGGGAGATACCACTATAACAATTATCAATAACAAAAACGATAGTAACAATGTTATCTTCATTTTAGTATCCTATTTATTACCTTATTAACTATTCTGATATTGTTCATCATTTTTTTTCATTATTATCCACGAATTGGACTCATTTGGTTTGATGGGACTATACCCACACAAAACAAAATATGGGCTCAATCCTTTGCAATGCATCGGGTCGGTAGTGGAAACGTTGAATGTTTCTCATTCGATACAAATTGCCTTTAATGTACGTAGTAGCATGATTTCATATTTAACATTATATTATTGCTTTTTCTTTGCTACATTCCAACATTTATTTAATAATGTATCAACCGATAAGTTTTGTAACTTTCAACCGATGTAGCATGACCTTATCTTCATCCCGAGTGTTCGTTCGTTCGTTATCTTCTGTTACACACATCAGCGTAGTTGTCACATACTCGCGATCACATGTCACCTTCTTACTCATATTTTGATCTTAGCCTAAAACGTTTCATTTCTACTTTTATATGCTTTATTCACTACCACAAAACGAGACCACTTTCTCTAATCATATATATTAGGTAATTACTCTAAAATCACGAATCGGCAAAAAGGACAATAAATATGAACTTTATCTAAAAATCTTGATCCCAAAGAGTCCAACGCGTCAAGAACCGTAAATACAAAAGAAGTAAAGAATTACAATTTACCAAAATAGTATGGACCAACAAAAAACACCTAAATTTGGGAATGCCTCGTTGGATACACGTATCACTCAATGCCATGCCAAATCGACACTTGCCTTGTATTTTGCAAAAGTTGATCCAACTTGCTCAACTCAAGGCAACTCTCTCTTTATCCTAGTCACCTTAATTTTTGGGTCCCTATGCATCCATCC